CCGAGTCGGCCCCCGTCACCCCCGCCAAGACCCGCCCCGCGCGCGCCGCCCCGCGCCCGCAGACCAAGACCCAGGCGCAGCTGGCCGCCTTCCTCAAGGCCGGCTCGAGCCCGGATGCCGCGAAGCGCCGCACCTCGCCGCGCGACAACCCCAACGCTTCGGTCGGCTCGCTCATCCAGAAGTGGTCCGCCCAGCCGCGCGTGCGCCACGACCGCGTCCCGTTCCAGGAGCGCGACCTGCAGAAGGTCGAGGACGCGCCCAAGAAGGCCCTCGTCGACTCCGTCGACACCTTCGGATCCAGCTCCGTCGAGCTCGACCACGCCATCCCCAAGACCGACCCTGGCCCGAGCCTGCGCGCCTTCGCCTCACGGTTGGGTCAGAGCAAGCCCGCCGCCCAGCCCCTCGCCGTCGCCGCCGCCGCAGTCAACACGGGAGACCAGAACCTCCGCGATATGGTCGCACGCGGCCTGCAGAGCCAGGCCACCCTGCTTGGCCCCGCCCGCTCCAGCCCCGCCAGCTCCAGCCCCGCGCGGGGCCCGCCGCATCAGGTCATCGAGGGCGCTTCGGTCATCGACGCCCGCCGCAAGTCGGGCCCTTCCTCGCCCCCTCTCATCTCCGTCGCTAGGGAGTTGCAGGTCGATTCTCAGTCCCCGTCGCCGCAGCCACGCCAGGGTGAACACCCCGCGCAGACGGGGCACGCGCCCACCGATGGCGACTGGGGCGCGGGTGACGTGTACATCCGTGAGCTGTTTTCAGAGGCCGAAGACACGGCCGAACGCGCCGTGCAGTGCGACGAGAACGAGGAGTACTTTGAGGCCTTTGAGCTGTACTGGGTAGTCGTCGACCTCTATTACAAGGTCATTCCGTTCCTCACTCCGGAGGAAGGCGGCGATGTGCACGAGCGCATCAAGATGTACACGAGGCGTTGCGAGGCTATTCGCGAAGCTTTCGAGGATGACCCGGAGGGACAGGATGAGATTCAAGTCCGCATCGCCGATGCCACCCTCGTGTCGGCCCAGAAGCAGGACCAGATTCAGGAGAGCTTCAACGCAGGCATGTGGAATGCCCATTTGGGCATCGCAGAGAATGTCGAGCAGGACGCATCATCGTATACTTATGTCCAGGAACGCGCTCCTAATGAAGAGTCGCCAACGTCTGTGGAGGGAACTGCTTTCCAATATGCTGCGCCTGAAAACAGTGGAGCGGCTGAAAAGAGTGCCATCGCTGAACGTGAGATGTCTGCACTACAAGCAAACCGATTCCCCGATTACTCCAACACCAAGCCTTTGGCGGCTATACCAGAAGCACCTCGAAACCCGACCGCCGTTTCCCTCTCCGCATCTACGAAAGCCCACCGCAACAGCTTGAGTCGACCGATCTCGCGCAGCGCTGTGCGTGCGTCGACGAGTTCCGTCTCCCGTGAGCGTGTCGCTGAGATGCAAGAAAGGGTACAGGTCATGCAGGCGTGCTTAAATAATTTTACAGTCAAGAGAAAACACTTGGGTCCCGCTCGCGCCTTGGAGCTACACGTGACCACGTTGAATGCAAACACGTTTGGAGACTTGAAAAAATTGGCCCCGTTAGCTCCGGAACTTGAGCACAAATGGGCAACAGAGCTTGAGGTACTTTTGTCTATGTTACAGGAGATTAAGGAAGTGCGTCCAGGTGTTGGGTATGCGCTGAGGGATGATATTTCGCGTCATCTTCCGGCGTTAGAGAGATGTGATCGTAGCGTTCGAAAGACGATGCGGTCCTTCGGTGCACTCGACGGCCATGTATCGTATGTGGAGCGTGAAACTGCGACGAATTCAGCCAGAAGTGGAAGGAGTCGACGACGGTGGTGGGTGAAGGTCCCGGTTGTCGTGAAAGGTGGCCTTCCGCCTGATGTGTTACGAATTGTAGAAGAGGCAGAACAGGAGATGCGAGGAGTTTTCAAAGTTTGTCATGAAATTAACGTAGAGGTTGTGAAATCTATGCCAGTACCGCAATCATTTGTCGAGGGGCTTCCGAAGCACGCACGATCGCTGATCCAGAAGGAACTGAAGGAAGGCCTGACTACTTGGGGTATGTTCAAGGTATCCGACTACATGAAAGATCGAAACCTGTGGAACAAGGATAACGCCAAGGACATCACGTCAAGCTTAGAAAAAGTGGCCCTCATCTGGGAAGCGAAGACATCGAACAAATCGTTCCTTAGCCGAACGTTTGACATTCGCGGTGAGCGGTTCCATCAGGCGATGACAGCATTCCGACGCTGTCAGAACGCGATCAGGGATCTCCGACGTGAGTGGCCGACCATGCAACACACGGATCTGGACATGGCGAAAATCCAGCATAACGAAGACATTGGGCACGCTGGCCTCGAAGCGTATTCCCGTGCACTCGAGTCTCGGGCGTATCGACTTCTGACTCGAATCCGCGAGCTTCTCGACGCAAACGAGGAGGAAAATGCACCGAGCGTGTCACCATCTAGCTTAGGCAACAAGCCGCGCCCGGCAGGCCGCAGCAAGGCGATTGAGAGAAAGGACAGCCGGGGGCTGCGACAACATGCGCAAGCGCAAAGCAATCGGACGCGAGGCTAATATTTGGTACCGGGAAAGAGCTTTGGCTTTTGACGCCAATCGGCGATGAGTGTATGAATTAGGTTATGTATGAAGTTAGGGACTGGACCCGGTCGTGGGCCGATTTGTAGAAACAGGGGGTGAAAGCTTTACTGAGATTGAAGAAAGAGTTATTTTGGCTTCTCGTGGTTATGGAAAGTTTTGCATTGATCGCGTTACGCTACAGTCTACGATGACAGAACGTGCAAGTAGAGCAGCTAGACTGTAGAGCCCGACGAACAGATGTCTGATCAAACAATGCGGACATTATGGGTGTTGGGTGTTTTTAAACGCGTTTTGCATGACACGATGGATCAGGTTGTCGCTCTGTGCTGCGTGAGACGACGTGGGTGTGGTGTGAGGGATCAGGGTTCAGGGTTGCAACAATCATGAGGGCGCGATTGTGGAGGACACGTTGAGCCCCTCATAACGTGCCGACAACCCATCCTGCATTGCAAAAATATCGCGACAGCATGTCTAATTGTGCTGTGCCGGTTTTGAAACAGAATCCCCCCCCCCCCCCTCACATAACTGAAAGAGTTGTTGTTGGGCAGCAGTGCTGACCAACAATGGTGCTGCCTGGCAGGCACTGTTGTAGCACCGCTGATGGCGAGTCACCCTTGGGTGAAGAGAGGGGTCAAGGGAGGGGTGAAAAGAGGGGGCCCTCTGTTGTTTATGGCCTGGTACACGTGTCAGGGGGCAGCGAATACTAAGATTATTGATCACGGTCTTGGGATCAAAAATCAAATTCCCCACTTCCGCTTCTGATTGGGCCCGCCAGCCCGCATGCGCCGTGTGATTCGTCTCTGCTGTGCCGTGACGAGATTGGTCATGTGACTGCTTCACAGAGTTCACAGAGATACCCTCCTGGCTCGTGAAGCCTGTAACAGGCTGTCCCGCAATCAGCTTGCCCTTCTCCAACACCTCCCGCATCTCCATCGTGCCTCGCGCATGTGCTTTTTTAAGAAAGGCCCAAGCTGCTCCCTCCACTTGCACAAACACAAAGTCTTACGACTGCCACTCTCACGGGATCATCTCGCTACTTGTCTAGTCTCGCTTTCGTTCAGCATTATTACCTCCTCAATGGAGGCGTCCTACTCGTGAGAATGTCGAAGAGTTGCACACTTGAACCACCAGTTTACAAATATCTGCGCATGCCGATCTCCATGTGTCTATCTCTCTAGATACTGCCTTACGTTTCGAACTTCTTCGATTCTGGTTCTGCGAAATCCTCTTTCTCACCCCACGCTGCCAGAAGCCGGTCGCACTGAAGTCAATGCATTAGAACGAATACTACTGTACTCGCCTCTCATCTTCAAATGACCTCAGTGCGCTTCTCTTCCAGTAAACGACTGAGGCTTTACTTTCACCCCCCCCATTCTAAATGCCGCAGAAGTCAATCGCTAGATTCCACCTCAACTGTTGTTACACGCACGAATCACCACTTTTCGAAACCACGACAGCCTTCTCAGCACCTGCCGCCACCATCAACGTACCGGAGCAAGCCCGAGATCCCATCCATCTCTTTTGCCTTCACAGTGCTCAACTCTCCCAAAACCCATCTCCTCTCCTGGGCCCCGGCCCACTCTTCACGCCTTCCCCCCGGCCAAACCAGATCACGCAACCCGCTTACACATAGAGACTTGCAGTCACACCCGTACACGCGTAGCGCACAACGAATCTACCCGCACCTGCGCAACAACCTGCACGCGTGGGGCATCGTCCCGGCGCCTCTTTGCCTGTTGTCATCAGTGCGCGTCTTTCCGCGCGCTTCGAATAGGCTTGCGTCCGTCGACAAGGGTTTTGCGCAAAAGAAAACGGCGCCGGCCTTGCTGCGGGCGGCCCTACAAAACAGCGGCAAAAAGTATCACCCTTTCCTTTCACATCGCCCTCCGGGCCATGGCGTAGCTCTCGTCCGGCCCGACGCGCGGGGCGCTCGCGCGGGCGGCGCGACGGAGCAGGATTGCGTGCGCGCGCAGACAGATCATGAACGGGCTAGCTTGCGACCGCAGGGCGTGGAAAGGGGCAGATCACGCGAATAAAGGAGCGTCGGTGAGGGTTGCGGTGGCCGTGTGTGTGTGAGGTATGGCAGATCCTGATGTGGGGGTGCGTAGATTAGGAACCACTTCCAATGATGGGGCAACCGAATATACTGTAGAGCAGCCCTACTGGTGGTGGAGTCATGCGGGGACTGTGGAGAGTGAAAAAGCACAATAAGATTGATCCTGTAACGCCGTTAGGCGTTAGTAGTCGTCCGGGATGGGGGATCTGAGGGAGAGCTGGGGGGCTAAATTGCGGGTATGTTTGTTGAGAAGCCCCGACGCCTCGCGTCGGGGCAGGGGATGGGAAAGGGCCTTACATTTTGTTTGGGGTATGCGGGGCGCGGGTTGTTGTGGGGAGCTGTATTTTTGGAAAAGGGATTTGCATCGGGAATTCGAATAGGGAGGGGGAGCGGGGGAGCGTGACCGGGGACGAAATTGAAAAGCATTGGGAGCGTTTGTTGACTGTTGAGTGGGGACTGGGGATGCCGGGTTTGGGGAGATGCGAAAGTTAGTTGATGCTAGTTTTAAAAATTGTAACGGAGAGGTGCGGTTTGGATTGAGGCCAAAGAAGCCACTGTTGAGACTGTACATAGGGAAAAGAGAGGGGTTTAACAGTTGTTGCGGGTTGTTGAATGCAAGGTTTTAAGTTGAATGTCGGTGAAGATTGAGAATGACAAAGTGGCGGGAGGAAAAGGGCGAGGGGGTGGAGGTAAGTTGAGTGCAGGATGAGAAGGTTGACTGAAAATGGGAGCAGAGGTTGCGGGGGTAATGATCCGTAAATGGTGGTGTTCGATTGGGCAGATGTGCTCAAAGCTGGGTGTGTCTGCGTGACAGAGATGCAATGGTGGCGTAGATTTACGAGATGCAAATGCAAAGCTCAAAAATGCATCATGTTGCTCCCGCCAACGCATCCAGAATGCAAGGGGAACGAAGGGGACCGAAAAATTTAAGTTTTTAAATCCTCACGCGAATTTCATGGCGCAAGGTAATAAATAAAATAAATAAATACCCGACCTCGGGCTCAAACGGGCTTTATGCCTGTGGTCGGAATTATTCGCCTGCCGGGCTCGGGGTGCGCAAAAGGCTCTCGGGGTAACTCCCGGGGCCCGCCACGCAATCTGTTGTCCCGTTGCCAGGGGTGCCTAACGGCCCCGGCGGGTTTGAATGCAAGCGGCGCGCCCCGCGAGACCCGTTGCAACGGCCCGGCGAATGGATCTGTCACGCGGGTTGCCGTCCTCTTTCAGCCACGCCGCGTCTTTAACATGCGAGGCGGGATCTTTGCTGGACGCCCTGTGTACCGTGTGCAGCGGGGCGGGATGTCTTTTCTGAGCAATACGCGCCCGGTGAGGCCGTGGGACGCCCGGTGGATTTAAGACGCGGCGGGCGTTTTGTCTTGGCTCAACCGCTTTGTGTCTGGCTGTGCGCTGCCGGCGCCTCGCTGTGCGCCTTGCGAAGCGGACGTGTCGATCACGCGGCCGTGATGTCACAGCTGCCCATCACGCACCATCGACTCTGAGCATCGTTCGTTGGCCCCTCCCTCCGTCTGTCTGCGCTCTCAATTCGCTCTCGCGGCCTCCCTGTCCCTGTCGTGTCGCTATTTTCTTACTCCATTTACACCGGATCATCTCGGACTTGCGCATTTTGCCACTCGTTTTTTTGGCTCAATTCCGTCAACTCAGCCATTAATACTTTACATCCACCTTGCAACACCTCCACAACCTCACCTGCCCCCCTCCACCACTCCACTTCTCCTTCTCCTCAACAACCCGTCCTCCTTCGCAGAGCCTCGAACAACATACACATTCCATTGCTGTTGCCCCCCCCCTCCAACTGCCTTGTCATCTCTTCCTTCTCTGCATCCCCCTAAATGCAAACCGCCAACCCTACCACCCCCTTGTCTGCCTCCCCTTCCTCCCCAAACTATTCCCAATTGCCGCAAACCTCCTGCCAACATCCCCCAAAGTCCTCTCCACGACCCCCCAAATCCTCCCCCCTCTCTACCCCAACCACTCGCCGTCTAGCCCCTCGCCATCCCGCCCCCTTCGCATCCTCTTCTCAAGACAAGCTTAAACCCCCCGCCACAACACCGCTTTCTCACTATCGTGCCTCCTCTCCAGGTGCAACTGCAGCCGCAATGTCACTAGGCACCCTCGCCGCAGCTGCCAGCCTCGCAGCAGCAGCAGTCCCTTCTTCAAGCCCCAGGCATGCTGCAACATACTCTCTAACCCACATGCCCCACAACTTCCCCGTCCTCCCCCCCACCGCCAGGGAAGACCACCCCAAGTCGCAACCTCAACCTGTCCCCACACAAACCACCCCCCATCTCATCTCGCAGTCGCAAGCCCTACGTCCCGCAGCCGCTTACCCCGCCCCTCGCCGCCCGGAGCCCCACCAAGTTGCTCCCGTCTTAAAGCCACTCCCCACCCATACTTTGACTAATAGCAAAGGCACCAATGCAAAGCCTGTCGCCCCAGCTCCGAATAGTGCCATGCACCCCTCGCAGATTCCTTCCGTGCCCACCAATCCTAACGGAAAGCCCAAACAGAGACGCTATAGAGCTAGCCCGGAGCAGTTGAGACAGCTCATTGCCCGCTTTGAAGTTAACGCTTCGCCGACTAGTGCCGAATTACAGGACCTCGCCGCTAAAATCACAATGCCCCCGCAGAGTGTAATCCTTTGGTTCAAGAATAGACGCGCTCGTGTGCCCCACAAGCTGGCCGAGAAAGCTATGAATGCAAAGCGAAAGGAGAGTGGAGATTCCTCTAGTTCCTCCGCAGGTATTAGCAAAACTACAAGGGGCTCGCAAAGCTCCAAGAAGCACACGTCCTCAGCGAAGGTCCAGACCTCCCAGTCGGCATTCAAACGAACCCCTTCGTTCACAACTCAAGCTGCTGCTGTCTCCCTTGCTGAAATGGCCCTGACCCTCCCATCCAGAAAAGTGTTTGAGAAACAATCGAATAGACAGGTCAGTGATATCATGAACAGTGTAAGTCTCTCTCGCAGACATCCCTCTGGGCCTGTAGCAGTCAAACCCCCGATGTCAAACATGGGTCCTCCTCCATCGTATCGGCCAAAGGCCGAGAAGGTGGTGCCATATGATACTGAACTCGTGAAGAAGCTCGGGAGCAATGTCACTACTCGAGGGGCTGAGTTTGTTCAGTCAACAACGCTAAGACGACCGAGGACCCTTCCTCCGACCCCTAGAGTCTTTTCTCAGAACGAATATCGAGCAGGGGACAAAGTTGAAGTGCTTGAGATGGAAAAGGGAATATGCCGTGCCTGGTACTCTGCCACAATCGTCGGACGGGGTGGACCCAAGGAACTGTCACTCGGAGCAAGTGCCGCAGTCGCGTGTGGCTTTTTCAGCCCTGGCTATGGAGACAAGCTGGAAGGTTCCAAGAAATTGGACTTTACTGAAGACATGAATGAAGATGACAATGGGGATGGAGGTGACTCACCTCGCACTGTGCGGTCTCCCGCGGCATCACCAACACCTCCAATTGCGAAAGTTCTCTACAGGGTGCGGTTTGAGCACCGATATGAGGAACAAGGCGGTAAGCCTCTTGAAACCGAAGTGCTAGCCTCCAAGATTCGTCCCGCTGCACCTTTCATGACGGATGAGGCTCCCCTGGACTGGAGACCAGTAGTCGGGGAGGCCGTCGAAGTACTCAAGGATGGGACCTGGTTTGTGGCAGTGACTCAGAATTTCGTGGTGCGAAAAGGGTACATGGTAAGCTTCGAGAGCGGGGACGTGGAATGGGTGCGGCGCCCTCGTCTGAGGCCTTATCAAATCTGGAGAGGGGGACAAAGATGGGTAACGAAGACTAAAGCACCACTTGCAGTCTCACGGAAGGGTGTTGGGCTGAGTGTGACGCACCCTCCAGGTGGAAAGCGAAAGCGAAGCGACTCTGACCTAGGCTCAAACGATGGGCAAGATGGTCGAGAAACTCGAGCCCGCAGTAAAAGGTCGCGAAGTGCAGACGTGGAGACGGGAAGCGGGCCTGACGGTCTACCTGAAGGGTGGAGAGTGGACCAAATACGGTGTCCTGAAACAATGGAAGTGAAGAAAAAGGTGTACTACATGGCACCAGATGGGTGTCGTCTAAGATCTCTGAAAGAGGCTCAACGCTACGTGAGGATGATGGGTCCTGTATAATGAGGACATTGAAGCGTTTGTCTTATTGTGATTTGATGTGAATAGGCTAACAAATGTTTGGACGATGATAGTTGTAGTAATGGCTTCGAATTGACCTACGCGGACTGGTCACTGTTTTGCCGAGATGAGAGGTTGGCGAGGTGCACGATTGAGGCCGTAAATGATATGTGATGTTTTTTTCTGTGAAAGTGTGTTGATGGCCAGTAGAGTTTTTGGCAAGCCGTAGGTCACCGAACATAGGTCAAGGAACATAGGTCAGGGAACAGAAGTGGGGAGATGGGAGGAGTATGACAGAGCGAGGTGTAGGAAGTTGCGGAGTGAGGAGGTTTCGTGTGGAAGCAAGCGAGCAGCGAACGAGAAGCGAATGAGAAGCGAACGAGATTCAGGATCAAACGCGGGAATCGTGTGCTCGGGAGGGGTTTGTATGTATGTCGCGCAGGTAAGGTTGGAAGGTTGATTGTTTGGATTGTGGGATCTGGAGAAACGGAAAATGTGTGGTGCAATGGGCACGCATGGGCACCAAAGGGAATGTGAGCTGCATCTTGCTGGACAGATGCCGAGCAAGGCGCTACTGCGTGAGAGAAACGGAAGTATGATAGGCGAGCGTGCGATCTGAATAGAGCCGGACTCGGGGCAGACAGAGGTCTGGTGGGCGCAGCGATGATGCCGGCTGGACGCACGGCTACTGGCCCGATGCTCAGTGCGGGGTGCAATTGAAAGAATATATAAATTTTATATGTGAGGCTCACACACTCACAGCTGAAGCTTCGCGTTCAGCTGTGAGTGTCAGCAGTATTCCATCGAAATCCTAGTCCCCGTACTGGTCAGTTTGGTCGTGTTTCCTTTCCTCTTGAACGCAGAGTGGATGGCAGATATATGGAACCCCTCGCGTGCCACACACGTTTGCAATGTGTGCATTTTTATTGAGTCAGAGGGCTACTGTATTGGGCTACTGTATTGCTCCGGTCCTAAAGAGGTCTTGATTGGGCTCTCGGGTCGACCTTCCGACTGCAGATCCGAAGCAGATCCTCTCTACAATACTGTACCGTTGGTACAGTATGGATTGCCGGATTCGACCACGAATTCATTTACAGTATCCCTGGCTTGTACAAGGCATGCCACAGTACACTGTACCCTTGGTACTGTACAGGACTGTACAGAACTGTACCCTTCTAAGGGTACCCATTGCACCCGTTGCAGCTTGGCGCATGCAGCTTGGCGCATGCATCCTTGCACCACCAAGATATCTCGTGAGCGTAGGGGCATGAGGTCGTCAATCAGTGGGCCCTATAAAGCATTATTATTGGGTGATTTGTTCTTGATCCGCGCCCCGCGGTCCAACATGCGATCAATCTGTCCACTGCCAGTCCAGTGTAAACCAAAGTGTTTGTTCCAAGTAAGGGAGACGACGAGATAGTAACCTTGACTCGGGATATACGCATTGTACAGTACAGTACAGTGCAGTATAATCGAAAAAAGGGGGCGCTTCCCAATGGATTGAACGCGGCTACCACGGCGACTGAGAGGGGACTATATACTGTAGCGCGGGAATCTCATGCTGGTTTGGGGAGGGGGTGACCCCCTCTCACAACCTGAAGAAATGTGCGGTCCACCTGTGACTCGACAGCGATACAGCATACTGTATATATATTTTTTGGACAGGTAACAAATGGTGTCATGCTTCAGCAAAACGATCGCTTATCTCCGCTGACCCGCTCTGCTGGAATTAGTGACACAATTTTTGTTTCCACGTTTGCACATTTCTAAACATCCCCTCAACTTCCAATCACTCCCCCGCATGGCGAATCACATGGGCGCCTGCATCCTCCTGTCCGTCAGCAGTGCACAATCTTCCACCCGTTCTGCTTTCACTGTCACGCACCTCGCTTGTTATTGCCTCACTGCCCCGCTGTTGCCCCGTTCTTGCAATAAAATCCCCTCGCTACGTGTACTGTTGTGTTAGCGCCAATGCAAGCCGAGTCTGGAGACGCCTGCCTTTTCATGCCTGTCCTCCTGGTCCAATTTTTTGACAGCCTGGTGTCTGCAATGCAAAAGTCAAATCGATTGCTTTTTTGCACCTGTCCATCGGGACTCAAAGCGGAATGTAAAAAATAGCAAATTTTATTTGGAGAAAATTTTATTTTCTTCCCGCCTTGTCAGCATTGGAGACGTCTAATTTCTCTGATGCTGTACAGTGCAAGCCTATCCTCTTACAGTACAAGCCAATCCTCTTACAGTACAAACTTTTAAAAAAAGTTTTTTCAAATTCTTCTTTTCACATACCTGTAACTCTAACAGATCCGTCCACTCTCGGAAACGTCTCTGTAATGCCAATCTTCCCTTCTGTAAGAGTCTTACACAGTAATGATAATTTCTGGGATCAACCGTCGGCGAAGGCGTAGACATCATCATCCTGCTCACAACTCTCAATCTTCGAACCCTGGGCCTCGCCCCGACCTACATTGGCCTTCGCCTACAGCTATCCGGCCACCATGCGTCTCCACGTCCTCTCCCGCTCGGATGCGGAATGGTCGGGCGCGAACGATGCAATCTCTGGCTTCGCACGCGCCTCGCGCAACCCAAAACCCATCCTGCACGCTCCCTCTCGCCCGCTAGACGTCCAGCGTTCTATCGTCGCCGCCAAGATATCCCGCAACCTCGCCCGTCCCTTTCTCTTCGCCTGCACCCCGTCCCACATCGACGGCGTCTACTGTCTCGCACGATCTCGCTCAAACGTCGCCCTCATGGCCTCCGCCGCCGCCGACGGCGAACTCAGACTCTGGCATTTGCCCTCCCATGCCCCACGCTTTCATCTCACACCCTCCCCACCCGCTTTTACCAGGGGCCTCACTTTTTCGCATGATTCGGAGAGGGTCTTGGCGTGCACAGATGCCAAACTTGTGCATTCTGTCAAGGTTAACGGCGATTACATGTCCAGCCCGAGGCTAGTCAAAGAGCTGACGCAGTACCAGTCGCGGGCCGGGCCCCTGTCTTCTATATCTGCGCATTACACGGAGCCCAAGTTTGCGACTGCATCCGCTGGGGTAGAGCTCTGGGACGAAACCCGAACAGCTCCGCTGCAAACCCTCTCTCTCTCCGTCGACTCGCTTCATTGCGTGCGGTACAACCCCGTCGAGGTGAATATTCTTGCATCAGCGGGTGTAGATCGCTCTATTACCTTATATGACACCCGCGCGAATGTCCCTATTCGCCGTCTCGTGCTGAAGATGCGCACCAACGATATCTCCTGGAACCCTATGGAGGCCTTCAATTTCACTACGGCAAACGACGATCACAACTGTTACACGTACGATATGCGCAAAATGAGCAGCTACGGCGCAATGACCGTGCACAGAGACCATGTCGCAGCCGTCATGTCTGTCGATTACAGTCCCACAGGGCAAGAGTTTGTCACGGGCAGTTACGACAAAACCATTCGCATCTTCCCGTTCACGGTTGGAAAGAGCAGAGAAGTGTACCATACAAAACGGATGCAACGGGTCTTTGCTGTCAACTTTTCGTTGGATGGGTCCTACGTTGTGTCAGGAAGCGATGACGGAGATGTTCGCGTGTGGAAGAGTGAACGAAGCAGGCCTTTGAAGCCGTTGTTCCGAAGTGAGAAGGAGAAGGTTCAGGCATCTGAAAAGCTCATAGAGCGATATCAAGGCTTGCCGGAGGTTCGCAAGATCGCGAAGAAACGCCACGTCCCGGGTCATGTGAAAACGATGCAAGCCACAAAGCAGATCATGAAGCAGAGTCAGAGACGAAAGGAACGCAATGTCCGTCGTCACACTAAGCCTGAAAAGCGAAAGAAGAGACTTCCCGACAACAAGGACAATATTGTGCGCGAACTGGAATGAAAACCGACGCAGCACGCGTCTGGGAGATCAGGACCGGGTGGCGTTTGTATATATATTTATATAAAATGGGTCATGCGATTTGTTAATAGTTGTTAGGAACACAACTAACTTTCTAAAGGCTCAAGCTTCGGCCCCTGTGGAGTATCGACGATTGCAAAACCCTCCGCGGAAACCTGATCGCGAATTTCGTCAGCTCGCGCAAAGTCCTTGGCTTTGCGAGCTGTTTTTCTTTCGTCGAGGAGCTTCACAAGATGTAGTGGCGCCTCAGCTGGCGGCTCTGATGCCGAAGCCGAAGTTGTGCCTGGTATCACGGGATTGTAAAATATCCCGAAAACCCTGTCCATGTCATCAAGACATTTCAAACAGCTGCCAGCTGCTTTCTCGTTCATCTTCTTAGCTTTAAGCATTTTCTCGGCTGCGTTGACAACCGAAAACATCGCAGCTGCCGCACGCGGAGTATTGAAGTCATCATCCATGCCTCTTGCGAAATTCTCTTTCGCCTTCGCAATTACCTCGGCGATGTCCTCCTCACCGCCATCTCCACCCGCGCTCTCAAGTCGTTTCCGGAGCGCGTCAAGCCGTTTCACAGTGCTTCGTGCGGATTTCAGAGATTGATCGGTGAACGCAAGGGCAGATCGATACTGCGAGGAGACGACAAGATATCGAAAGGCCCTTGCGTCATCTGGCTTCTTTGCAATGTCGCGGAGTGTTTGGAAATTGCCTAGACTCTTGGACATTTTTTCGTTGTTGATGTTAACAAAGCCATTGTGCACCCAGAAGCGAGAGAAGGGACGTCCCGTAAGCGCCTCGGATTGAGCGAGCTCGTTTTCGTGGTGTGGAAAGACAAGGTCAATACCGCCTCCATGAATATCAAGTTCTGGTCCCAGGTACTTGATGGCCATGCATGTACATTCAATATGCCAGCCTGGACGCCCCTTTCCCAAGGGAGAATCCCAGAATATGCCAGCATCGTTAGTTTTGTAACTCTTCCAAAGAGCAAAATCACGCATGTCGGCCTTATCGTAATCGTCACTGTCTATGTTCTCGCCCTCAGTGGCTTCCGCAGCCGCAGTGCGCGACCCTTTTTCTCGTTTTTCTAGTTGAGCTAAACGTCCGTAAGACTCAAATTTGGCGACTGAGAAATACGTTGATCCGTCACGCTCATATGCATAGCCACGTTTAACGAGTCCTCCTACGGTTTCTTCGATTTCCTTGATATGCTCCGTTGCTCTCGGATACTGCTGCGCTGGAATGACGTTAAGTAGGTCGAGGTCGGCGAAGAAAGCATCGGCATACTTGTTCGTAAGCTCGTCCAAGCTGCACCCCAGCTCCCTCACCTTTCGAATAATTTTATCATCAATATCCGTGAGGTTCATGACATGTTTGATGTCATACCCCCTACACAGCAGCCACCTCTTAATAACATCGTATGTGAGGAAAGCGCGAAAGTTTCCAATGTGGGCGTAATCATAGACCGTCGGCCCGCAAGAGTAGAAGCGCACCACGCCAGGCTCCACCGTCGTGAACGCTTCTTTGGTGCGGCTCAGCGTGTTGTACAGCAGCAATTCAGCACGGCGCTCTTCCCACACCGATACGTCCTCTTTTGCGACGGCGGCCGGCATAGCGGTCGCCTGCAGTGTGCTGTGGCGGCGCTTTAACGCGGGCAGGGCCGAGGGGAACAGGCGAGACCGTCGCAGAAGGGGCATGAGGGATGGCGGAGAATTGATGGAAAGGAGGGGCCTGGGCAGGGCCGGCGACGGTGAAAACGCTACGGGCGTGCCTCGCGCTCCGCGCGGGCTTTTCGCGGAGCTCCGCGGTTGTCGTTTCATGGCTTTGTCGCGGTGCTGCTGTCGCTGCCTCGGCACTGCGGAAGAGGCGGAGGTTGTGGGTGCGATGAAGGAGATCGAGTGGGTGGGATTGCGGCCAGATTTCGGTACACGTTTTGCAAACCATCCAATCACGGCGCCGCATTGGCGAAACCTAGAGCCGTGATCTGCATTTTCAGCGCTCAGCGCCGGCACATCCGCCCGAGCGCTCGACTTGTCTCCACAGATCCGCTCACCTACACGCCCTCTCCTGTAACGCTCCTCGCTTTGTCAAACCTCTGCCAAAACTCGCACCAACATCCCCCTGCCGTCTCCATGTTCCGCGCCTTGAACATGACGTCGCAACGCTGGGCTTTCGCCGCTCCGCTTCTCCCGGGCCGTGCTCTTTTCCCTTCCACGCTCTCCCGCCACAGCCCGCTCGCGCCTGTGTACCGTGTGGCGCCTCGGGCCATCAGCCTCGTCGCCACCGCCCCGGGCCCCCGCTCTGGCGCCAAGCCCGCGCGCGTCCCCGCCATCGTGCGTCCGATGGTGCCGTCGCGCGATCTGCTCCAGTTTGTCGAGGACAAGGCCCAGCCACGATCCGTCGTGCTCAAGAGCCTCAGCAAGTACGTCAAGGACCACGAGCTGCAGGATCCCAATGACAGGCGCATCGTGCTCTGCGATGACAAGTTAAAAAAGTTATTGGGCGTGGAAAAGTGCACCATTTTGGAGATGAGCAAGTACATCACCCCGCATCTGTCCAAGCCGGAGACTGTCGGTGGAAAGTATCTCGAGGACGCAGGAAAGTTCGAAGAAGAGTACTTGCGAGTTAAGGCCGCGGAGGCCGCCGAGCGCTTGGAAAATGGCGAGCCGCTGAAGCCTGTCAAGGGCCGAAAAAAGCGCAGGGTTTCGAAGACGAACACTGAGGACAAGACGAAGGGACGCAGATTGTTCAAACCTGTTCTGCTAAGCCCTGATTTGGCTGCCGTATGTCGGAAACAGGAAATGCCCCGTCATGAAATTGTCAAGGCCGTTTGGGAGTATATTCGTTTGAATAATCTGCAAAGCAAGCCGGGAGAGCCGATCAAGTGCGACTTTTTGTTGCGCAAGGTCTTTGACTCGGATGAGATTGATGTTCGTGCGATCATGAAGGGAGTCGCTGCACACGTTAAGAAGATTGACACTTGATACGCTCGCGACAGACATGGCCTGATGCACTCCGCCACAATGGTGTGCGAAGCGTTGAGATTATTGTTGCTGGTATTTTAGGCTGGTGGCCTCGTGAGTGGGAGAACGTCGTTTTTACTTAGCAAAGTAGAGGCGTCATTGTTCTGGTTGTCGGATGGGACTGAGATCGTTGCGGTACAAAGGGCTTTTCGTGTATGTTATCACTTCTCGCTAGTGGGTCGGGTTGCGGGTGATGTGCAGTGATCAGGTTATTGTTCTCACACTTGGAAGCACATTATCGGTCCTTCGTACTCAGGGTCTAATGCTAGTATTTGACGCGGAAACGTGGGAAGGTCTGCTTTGCCTTTGGGTCATCGTAATGACGAGGCTAATAGTTTTCGAGTCTTGGGGCATGTGACGAGAAAGCAAACGATGACCATCAATGCAAGTGTTTGAACAAGTGCTTTGTGGGCAACGGCGTTTCTATTGGATGTCATCAGCGTGCGACACCATTTTGTCGAAGCACGTACGGTAGTATTCTTGTACTGTACAGGCGCTACGGCTACAAACTCCACAGTTTTGTAGCTTATTCAACTCTGTACTAAAGTTAATTCTCGTTCTCGCCACAGTCATTGTCATGATGTAGATGCTCTCCCGGCGGCTGCAGTTAGCTGCCCTGTTCCACTACATTGACGGCATTCCAACGTGCTATAGTACAGTATGTAGCCCCTTCTTTGTGTGCTGCACTGTAGTACGTAGCCTCGTCTCGAGGTCTACCAACACGAGGTCTTCGTGTGAGATGGCATGCGTTCAGCATAAACGAGAATGTAACGCTGGTCTCTAAAGCGAGACGCAAGGATGTTGCGGATGTCGTTTAATGGGTTCTGATTGGTGTCTGAGAAACACGCCCCCCTTTTTGGCGTTCTGGTGAGCATCATGGAGACCACCAGTCAACGTTTTTTTTTTTTTTTTTTTCTGAACAATTTCCACTGCAAGTGTTCGATAAAAAAAAAAACCTCTTGTCACCGGAGTCAAACCGAGCGGAACTATGGGGCATGCCATGGAAGTAAGGAACAATCCTAGGAAACAGGACTCGGGCTTAATGAGCGTTTGATTCATGCCCACGTCAAGAAACAACATAAGAATTGACACGTTTTTATGCAAACGCATTCTTTAGTGCATATCCTGCGGAGAGAAAGATCTGAGTTGCATGAGAAAGTTTGATGCATTTGCACGGAGTGTGCAGAATTATTGGTGATGGTTGATACGAAGTGTCAGCAGCAAAGCTGAATCGCTATTTCTAGTCGACATTGTACAAATAGTATACTCTGTACCTTGAGCGGCAATATGCAGTGGTGCACATGTGTGGAGTAGTCAAATTGTGTAGGATTAAGAGTTTATGTGTTATACAGAAGAGGCAGTGACAAAAACCCGAATGGTATATGGTATCGAATCTACCCCGTACTACAGTTGCGACGTACATACAAGACCAGATTCTGGTGCGGGCCAAACGCGACTCTACGGAGCTACTGAATTATGACCTCATTAGTGAGCGTAGCGTCCGGGCCGGCCTCCTTAAATTCGAGCATATTAGAGACGGTAGTCCCCCAAATATTGAGCATGGCAGTGTCGGTACAAAAGGCGATATGGGGGGTGAGGAGGACGTTGGGAAAGGACATGAGCATGGAAATCCTATCATCCTCGAGAATCTCGCCGGAATGGTCGTCAAAGAAGAGCTCTGCCTCTCCCTCGACAACGTCCATCGCGCACGCACCAATCTTCTTTCCCTTGAGCCCCTTGATAAGCGCGTCCATATCCATGAGCTCGCCCCTCGACGTGTTGATGAGGATAACGCCCGTCTTCATCTTCCTAATGGCCTCGGCATCGATCATATGGCGCGTGGACGGTAGCAACGGGCAATGCAGACTAATAATATCCGAGCGGGCGAAGAGGTCGTCCTTGGAGACATACTCGACGCCCATAGCCTCCGCCTCGGGGTTACGATAGACGTCATAGGCGAGGACGGTTGTGCCGAAGGCCAACATGATCTTCGCGAACAACCTTCCAATCTTGCCGGTGCCGCAAACGCCAATGGTCTTGCCGTTGACATCGAAGCCCATGAGGCCCGCGAGCGAGAAGTTGCTCTCGCGGGTCCTGTTGTAGGCCTTGTGGGTCTTGCGTCCGACTGTGAGCAGGAGGGCGACGGCGAACTCGGCGACGGCGAACGGGGAGTAGGCCGGGACGCGGAGGACCTTGATGCGGTGCTTGCTGGCGGCGGCGAGGTCGACGTGGTTGAAGCCTGCGCAGCGGAGCAGGATGCAGCGCACGGCGCCCTCCGCGAGGCGGGCGATGACGGGGGCGTCTAGCGCGTCGTTGACGAAGGCGCACACGGCGTCCGAGCCCGCGGCGAGCGGGGCCGTGCCCTCCGAGAGAGGCATGGCCAGAAATTCGAAGTCGATGTGCGGCGTGACGCGGGTCAGAGTGGGGTGCTGACGCAGGAAGTCGCGCTCGTAGCGCTTCGAACTGAAGACGGTGACTTTCATTGCGGCGGTGGGTGGTGGGATGGGGGGAGGGGGGGCGGCAGGGAGGTTGGGGGGCCGGGCGGGTTTACATAAGGAAGTGTGGAGGGCCGGGCGGGGTTTACACAAGGAAGGGTGGGGTGGCAGAGGTGTGTAACACACCGTGTGTTGGAGGTGTGCGGAAAGCCTTGCGGGGGATTGGGGGAGGTGTGCGCGTGGAGATGGCACGTGATACGGGTGTTGTCCCAGTAGCCGCTGGCGACGGGATTCGCCCAGCGCGCGCGCCACGATTGGATGGTTTGTCCACAGCTGTCCACGTGGAAAAACACCGCCCGCGCTGTCGAAAGCGCGGCCTCTTTACAGCCGGCAATTCGGCGTCATCGGCCAACTGTAAAACGC